ATTTCTATAACTCCAATTATGTTGTAGTATATAAATCAAATAAATTATACTTATGATTTAATAGATATAGGTTGAAAAAATTGTATTTTTCTGAGGTTCTAAGTCTATTTAAAAATAAATAAAAACGACATTTTTTCAACAGCTGTTTATACTTAATTATTTTAAAACAATTGTTAGATTTGTTATGAAAATTCAGAAAATTTGATTGATCCTAATTGTATCCTAATTCTATTGTATTTTGGCTTGAATTTTAAAATGCAGTAATACTAAATATGTTAATTTTATAGATAAGTTAATTTATATAAGTTTTTTTCAAGTATAATTTGTATATTGTGTATTGGAATATATCTAAATTAAAAATAAGATTAAAAATTTAAACAAACAATATTGCAAACACAACAAATAACATCCGAAACCGGGAACTTCTGACACTAGTATTTTACCGGTTTCATTGTTTTAACTTAATTTTATTTTAGTTAGTAACATTAAGGTTTTAAATTTAGTGTATTTAAAAATAAACAGATCGGAAAGATATTGTAAACAATTTGAATATTATGATTTTAAGTTATCAAGATATATTAAACATTTCAAAATAATTTTTTTATATCGGTAAAAATGTTCTGAATTCATAAGGATGAAATGATAAATTAAACAATGTTATACTCATATATCTTAATTGGTTTGAGGAGTATTTGGAAATAAAACGGTTACGCATAAGTGGTGGACACACGAAAAGAAGAAAATAATGTATTATTGTGTATATAACCGGTTTCCGTAATACGTGTAACATACAGTGGCGTATTTACAAATGATTTTTTTTCCGAGGAGACTGTCATCATACATTTTTTTTATTAATCAGTATAAAATAGTCAGAATTAAATTTTTATCTGTTTTATTATTTTCTTATTGAAAAATAGAATTTCATTAATTATAAATTATATGATAAACTCTAGCGTCCTTATTTTATTTGTCAATTTGTTAATAACTTCATCAGTAGTAAAATTTAAATCTGGATGAATCGATAACATGGCAAGGCTTTACTGAAACAAAATGCGATCTTTATACAATTATCTCCACTTTTAGTAGACAAACATTTTCTGCAAACTACAGGCTACAGCAATAGGCATTAACCTGTGAATTTATAAATAACTTAAAATTAAATAAACTTAAATAAATCTATTAATAAATCATGTTGAATTTATTTAACCATTGAATAAATATTTGTTTATTAAAGTCATTCCATTTGGTTTATATTTATTTCCTACGCAATAGCAAAATATTTTTATTTAATTTTATATTATTATTGCATTCTGAACTTGTAACATCTATTATTTTAAAAGAATTCTTTTGATAATCCATTTTTCTGTAACTACAACACTACAACTGAATGAAAGTCTTCAAGACTACAACGGCAATATCTTTGTTGTTTTACAAGTAATACGAATTTACTTACGCGAAAAACAACAAGCGAAAAAAATGTTTCTGTCTTAGAAATGATTAATGATTTAATTTACTTTAGGTATCTAAATCAATTTAAATTGTTACATATTAGACACGAATTAAAACTATGATTAAATAGTATATTGAAAAACTGTGATTATTAATTATGATATTTCATTTAAATTAGTTGGATATTATTCGATACATTTAGTTTTGAAAAAACTGGAATGAATAGCTGCTCAATGTTACAATTGATAAAATACAATTGTCTTAATATGTTCTGTTTGAATTTGTTTCAATTCATTCAATTCAATTGCAATTAATTGTTTGACAGATTTAGTTAGTTAGTTCTAAATATCGATTGAAAAATTATATTTACAATGAGGTTATATGACATTTAGTCACGCGTCATTTCGTCCCATTTATATATTTTTTCTTTTTATTATATCATAAAAATTTCAATTATCACAATTTTGTCTTATAACTATACTATATAATAATCTTACATTATTATCAGTCAATGTATGTATAATAAGTTTAAAATAATAAAATTTATTATACTCGAAATTATGTCTATTTTGTGTTGGTATAATTCTATATGATTGTTGTAAAGTGTTGCCATAGTGTAATGACTAAATAATTATAATAATAATTTTACTCTATTATTATTAAAATTATTCCATAATCTATTGTATTATTAAATATTATTGAATAAGAGAAGAAATTCAATAGCTGATGAGTATTTAAAGATGACACTTTTATTGAAAATCAATAGGTATTTTGATTAACCTGTCCATTGTATTTTTTTGTTTGTTAAGATTTTAATAAAGTTAATTAATGTTATATATTTAATTTAATGTTTTGTATCTCATAAGCTGCAATAATTATTTTTAGTTTTCATACTGTTATTGAACATTAAAAAGAATATTTTTTTAAAATTATGTTTATCATAAGTGATTTGTATGAAAAATGAATAATAACAAACCATACATAAATTAACACAAATTTATTTTTATATTTTTCTACTCTAATTAGAATATGGTAAGATTTTTCTACATTTTCACTAACGTTAATGTTAAATAAGATCTGTTGTAAATTGTTATTATATATATCTCTTATATCAGAGTTTAATGTAAATATATTTTTTTTCTTTGTAATCAACTTAACTTATTAATTTAAGTTTAGTTAATTTAACCATATTTTTTAACTTCATTGTTAACTTAATTGAACATGAACTCAATTAACTTAATTGAGTTAGAAAATATCATTAACTTGCTAATATTTAAATGTAATGTTTCAATTCATATTTAGTGGTGTTATAATATAAAAATAATGATGAATTACTAGAGTTATACTGTAAAATTATGATATTATTTATTATAAATATAAATATATATATTTTTTTATTAAAATAAAAAATTTACAATCTGTAACATATGTACAATAAGCAAATAGGATAAATTATGCGGAGAATATTTATATGATAAAAGTATGAGTAAAGCTATTTAGCGACAGAATGACGCGCGACCAAATGTAGCATTCGTCAAAATTACATACGACCAATTGTCGTACGCAACCAACTGTCGTGCATCCAAATGACCACGTATATTTATCGCGTGTCGAAATGACGGTACATCCTACAAAGAAAATGTTAAAAATAATTGATTACAATGTGATTGTTTCAGGATATTTGAAACATACTGTAGACTGAAGGGTGACAACATCAAATTTCTTCATGTCATTGTATACGTTTTTGTTTTTTTTACAAATATTATTAATTTTTAAACAAATTCATAGTGGTAATGATAACATTTTGACAAAAAATCATTCAGTAAACATATATTTTTACTTGTAATAGAATACATGTTACGACACAAGTACATGCAAACAAAAGATTGAGACATTTAATCATTTGCAAAAAGTGCGATATACTATACGTTAAAACCGTCATGATTTCCTGTAAGAAATAATGGTCAAGTGCACCTATATCAAGTAAAATGCGTTTTTGTACTTTGCCAAACTTTTACTACTGATAATTTTCGTGTCCCTCACGAAAAGGGTTATCACACATGGGGCGTTCGCCGGACACCAGAACTTCGATACAGACAAAGCCTGCAGATAAAACATCAAGAACGTTGGAGATTGACAAGCGCAGCAAGGCGATAAGGACTAAGGTTCTAAGGTTCCGTGACGGACCTCCGTGACAGGAAATGCGGTCGCCGTGCGGTCACGAATTATAAAAAGTTATGCCGAGGACGCGGACGCGATACCAAGAACGCAATAAACGTTTCCGACAAAGCGTTGTCGTCATGTCCGCTGCCCACAGAATGCGATTATTAGCACACGATCGTCATAGGCTAAAGCATACGTCCTCGGTGTTTGCCACCCAACCTAAGAGGATCATTTTTTGGAATCGAAATGAGCCGATGCAGACCATTGCAATGTGATCAAAATTAATGTACATAAGTTTTTCCATAAACCCTAAAAAATGTATAATATTATTTTATTGTATAAATTATTTTATTTATAATACATCTTTTATATTACTTAACATTATAAGTTAAACACAATTTAACTTTTTCATAGTTAAAAAACAAAGAAAAATATCATATAATTCTAATTTTTTATTGATAATACCGGTTTAGCAATTTTGGGTTGAGAGCATTTTAATTCATTCACACATTCACATAAAGAAAATAGAAACATTAACTATTTTATATATTTTATAATACATAGAGTACTTATTTTAACGTATGACTAATAATTCAAAGCTTCCTTTTTGTTTGATTTATTTTAATATTTAAAGTTACATTAAGCAATTTAAAACTATGTATTTTGTTATAATAAATAAAATATTTTGCGATGGAAATATAACATCCATTATAATAGTGTTCTCATGGTTTTATAAATGGTTATACGATAGGATAATTAAATATAATCATTGTACATTAAAAGTTGTATCAATATCGTAGTAAATTATTATTACTCAAAAGTGTTTTGATTAACTTTTATTTTGACATTAACTATAAACATATATTTAAATCATGTTCAACGTATCTTGTTTAAATTACGAAAAACATTTAATTTAATGTATTAAGTACTATAAAGATACAAATTTATATTATTATGAAATTCAAAAAAAAAATTGTTGTTAAAACGCATTATTTAACATTTTATGCATTTGCAATGTTTAATAAAAAAAAAAAAAAAAAACAAAAATAAAATATTAAAATAATACATAACTCGAATAAAATGAATAATACATATATTTTGATTACATATTATTATGTAGATGTACCCACCCAATGGATTATAATGTTTTAATGGTTGTTATTCGAATAAAAAACAAATACATTGAACAATCTGTGTTTTAAGGCAACTGGAAATTGTGTAAAACTCGAAGCTGTTATTTTTTTTTTCAATTTTCTTACGCACATCATACCTTTATACATATTATTGAACTACTCTGTACAACCGGTTCAATACAATAAAGATGAATTTGTATGGAAAAACGCATTTGGGAGGGATATTAAATCTTGCGACTTTTGATATAAATACCACAACACTCTTTGGAATCGTCACCAGTGTTTATCGTCGTGTAAAAACGAGTTTTCTTTCAGTAAACCTAAACTACGCAGAACAAGTTTCAAATCAAAAATGGCAGCAAAGGTAATACGGCATATCATATTTTATAACATATAACTATACTACATTATAATATCATAATATTATTGTTAACATTATTCATCGCTTGGATATATGTGCAAGTTCGTATAGGGAACTGGATATAACAAAATTAAATCGAATTTCGCATAAGGTATTCGAAACATTTGTAAGGTGGTTCTTAACGCGATCCGCTACTTGATGTACCACTCCATGGCGTTCCCAAGAGTTAGGTGTATTACCATTTTTTTTTTTTTTTTTTTTAAAAAGTTGTTCCCAACAAGCATGCGCAACATTTTACGGACTATCTTGACTTGATCTTGCTCCTTATTTCACTCGCAAAATCACGTTACGCATAACCTACACTAGTACTTGTCTGTTCGGTCGCCTAATAATTATAAGATTCCATTGATAATTCAATAACAGGCCGGTACGTTTTCATTCGAACTTTCCAAGCGAGGCGGTGCAACGGGCGAACAGAATTCGATGAGGTCTCGTTCGAAGGCAATCGTTAGACAAACACAGTACCGAATAAAAAAATTCGATCCGATGAAATAGTAATGCACACGCGTACCCATTGTATATTATCAAGCCCGTGATTCATGACAAATTACCGTACCGTCATGTTTGTACCGGGACAGCGGTTACAGCTCGTACACACGCTCGCCAATCCCTTCGTATCGCAGCAACCCGGGTCAGCAACCAATCCCGGAACGTCGAAGGACTATCGTCGTCGTAACGGAGTCCCCGCACACTCTCAGTGACCCCTCGGCCTTCTTGTTACCCGCTGCACCGGTGATCGCTAATGTCCCGTGGGTTTTTCTTCCAGATCATCTTCCTAGCCGCCTATGTGTCCGTCGCCTTGGCCCAGTACGCCGCGCCCGCGGCCTTCTACAAACCGGCGTACAGCCCGGCCCCGGTGTACGCTGCTTACAAGCCGTACGCGGTCGCTGAGCCCGCTTACCCGCCGGCCCCATACAACTTCGAGTACGCCGTGAACGACTATCAGACTGGTGACGTGAAGAGCCAAGCCGAGGCCAGCGACGGTAAGACGGTGAAGGGTTACTATAGCCTGGTCGAGCCGGACGGCACCAAGAGGATCGTCGAGTACACGGCCGACGACTACGGGTTCAACGCGGTCGTCAAGAAGGAGGGCAGCCCCGTCGCGTACGCCGCCCCAGCATACAGGTCGATCGCCGCCGCACCGGTGTACAGGCCGATCGCCGCCACGTATAAACGGGCATACTAATGTCGTGAGAACGACAGAACAATCCGACTAACATCACATCATCATATCGGTATCGTCGGCAGTTACGTCAATCCGACAGCCACCACCGCCACCGACGCCGAATCATTCTCATCCGTCAACCGACTCGTTATGCTATCATTGCGTTATCACGCGCGTCACCTGTTGCATTAGTTTTATGAATAAAGTACGTGTACATTTACTACAGTCCATGTGTTTTTGTTATCCCTTCCTCTCGCTTATGCATTAACGTTGTACGGCATTATTTGGCCACGTGTCCTTTCAGCTCCTACGGTAGGCACTGCGGTCGTTATTATCCGGTATGATCGTCAAAACGCAAACGCTTTTTTTTTTTTTTTTTTTTTTTTATATAGATATTTACGAGATTGCTAAATTATGTGTTTTACAAATTACGGACCTTGGTCACCGTCGAAAAATTCAATGTTACTGAACTTTCTCTTTCGTTAGTTACGGTGTTTTTTTTTTTTTGTAAATCCCATACCGATACCTTGATTTTACAAAAAAACATTTATTTATATATTTTTTAAGTGCCCTACTCGTTGGTTTTCAACTTTAATATTTGTGTTTAAATTGATATATCTCTTCCATTACACACTACCAAAACCCATATTAATTAATACTTATACATATTATTATTATTATACGTATATTAAATAATCTGAAAATTCACGGACCTATTCGACTTCGAAATGATGAATATGATAGAAGGAAAAATAAAGATCTGGAAATATTATTTAACAACCAGAATAATAGATTATTCCTGAAGGCAGAATACTTAAAGTGGGAATTGCTCACGTTCCGTGAGCTGTCGATAGTCTTATAAGAAACATCTAAGTGAAAACCCTCCAAAAAAAGCGAGAGGAAAACGTCGCCAGAGATAGTTAGACAGGGCGAGGAAGAATATTTTAGATTCCGACAACTCAAAACGAATGAACGAATGAATAACACGATGGACAGGAATAGATGGAGAAATTTGGTGGGATCATGTAAAAGGCTTTAATGGACTGTATAATATAAAAAAAAAAAAATAAAAACGTATTATGTTCCTATTATTTTCTTGACACAAACATAATCATGATTTATTTAAAAAAAATTATTATAGAAACTATTTTAGAATGTATAACTGTCGGGAGTAATATGCGTTGGATTAAGAATGATAATTTTTATTGATTGAGCATTAAAGGAGATGCTGGCAGTCTAAGTTAACTAAGTTAACTAAAATTATAAATTTTATAGCTGAACTTTTTTTTATAAATTAGGCATTAGCTTGTTTGATTTTGAGAAAGAGATTAATCATTATGACTTTTAAAAATGTCACGCAAAATGATAATTGAAAACAGTAATGAAATATCAATACTATTGATTTAAAACCAAAGAATTTATATAATAATTCCATAATTCAGTAGACGTAACTTAGTCACTTCTCCATTTAAATTTTCTGCTTTAAAAAATATTTAATTTATTGAATTAAAATTATAATTTATTTATGTCACACGAATGAATTAAAATTTTATTATTTTTTTAATTAATTAAATAATGTATATTATTAAATATAATTAATATAAATATCATTAATAATAATAAATTTTTAATTTTTATAATTTAAAATTTAATATCACAAGTAATTTTTCTAATTATCCGATATACTTGTATTACCTTTATTAATAACTCAAATCAATATTTGTACGTTGTAATGATTTTATTGCAAATTGACAAATTCGATTCTAATATTTATTTTTTTTTATATAATATCGATGTCTTTGACGTTTTCAATAAATGTATCAAATATCTTATGTCAAAAAGAGTAAGCGTATACAAGATTAATTCTGATTAAAAATAAGAAATACATATTTTATATAATAGTGTGACTACATAAAAGAAGAAAAATGTTGACGAAATTATTCATCAGTGACATATTCTATAAAACTTCTTTAATGAACAACAGTAATTTTTGTTAAAGTACGTTGACATAAGTTAATCTTAATTCTCTATATAAAATAGGCCGAATCCCCTGCGAAAAGAAATAAAAACTTACAACAACCGAGTTACACGCATGGTTTATTAGTGACAAGTACGAATTGTGTCCGTGGTTTATCAGGGGCAGGTTCGAGTTGCGTGCGCGGTATGCGTAAACGGGTTTATTTCATGCGGATTAACACTTTTATAGTTATCTGTATATACTCGTAATATAATGAAATCATTAAACACTGTTGAATATATGTATGTATGTATGTCTGTTAATAAAATATCTGTATATATTTTAATATAGCTGGAAAGCGAATAAGAAATACGAATTGACTCTCGAAAACTATAAGATCATTTGGTTTGTCTTTTTTAAATCCCCAAAATGTTCGTTATTGCTCTTTTTTTCTTTTTGAAGATTTGATGAGAATAAAATCATACGAGGAGAGGGCACTTCATTTTTTAGTTCGTCTACCACATTCGTAATAGTATTATGTGAATCTTTTCATTCAAAACTAAATGGTATGTTCCATTCTTCCATTCTAAATATTTACGAACTATTAGAAATTCTGAAAAAATTACAGACAGATGTTTATTAAAATTCGCAGCACATGTATGAAAATAAAATCTAAGTCTACAACTCATCGAATAGTTGGCTTATAAATATTATTATTATTATTAATTTTAGTTTATATTTTATATACAATGTATGTTAATTTTATTTCGATTTACACATTTTCACATTTTTTTATACAAAGTTATTTTTTTTTAACCGGAAAGCACAATTGACATTAAATGTATAAAAATTTAAAAACTAAATGTATTATATTTTTATTAGTATGAAGTGTAGATAAGGAAGATAAACTTAAAACATACAAAAAAAAATTAATAATATTATGTATTGTTGAACACCTATATGGATTTGTTTCTGTCTGAAAAACCATGGGTGTAATTTGACCTTTTTTTTCGCATGCAGTCACCGATAAAATATTATAATTAGGTTTAAAACAAATTATTTATAATAAGACAATAACGTTATTTACTGTAGTCATAGAATATGTGGAATAAGTCAGGTCCCCGTTCCTAACACTCAAATCACTATTTACTAGTTGAAAATTGTTTTAAGTTTGAAAATAACTAAAGTATGCAAAATTTACGAATAATATTGATTGAATCTAACAATTTTGAGTAATTTTGAGTATTATTTCTAAACAGTAAAAGTGCTTCAACAATATTTTGAAGGAGTTAACTTCATATTTAGTTTAATCGATTGATTGGAAAGGAATATTTAGAGCAAAAAGGCGGTAACCGAATTAACGTTGATCACAGTATAATAATGAATAGTGCACAACCGGTTTGAGAAAAAAAATTGTAACACTACTACGTTTAACAACCAAATTAGTATCAGGAAGGGATGATATTACAATGATCCATCGATATAAATACGGAATATTGTAAGCAAACAGCTAACAGTTGCAGTCTGTCGAACTATCAAGTACATAGGTACAACAAGATCTTCAAAAAACAAAACAAATAAAATGGCCGCTAAGGTATTTATACGCTTCGCTTGTTAAGTTATCGAAAATATAATTTACTGATTGAATTTTACAAAAAAAAAAAAAAAAAACAATCCGATTTCACTGTTTTTATTTATAATCTCTATGGAATTTTTTTCTGTTTTTCAGATGATCATTTTCGCCGCCTGCGTGGCCACCACACTCGCCCAATACTCCGCCCCGGCCTACAAGCCAGCTTACTCGGCACCCGCTTACGCCGCACCAAAGGCTTACGCTCCGGAGCCCGCTTACGCTCCGGCCCCGTACAGCTTCGAGTACGCCGTAAACGACCCACACACCTACGACATCCACAGCCAACAAGAATCCAGCGACGGATACGGCAACGTCAAGGGATCCTACAGCCTCGTCGAAGCTGACGGTTCCACCCGTATCGTCGAATACACCGCTGACTCTTACGGTTTCAACGCTGACGTCAAGAAAATCGAAGGATCAGGATACAAGGCCCCAGCTTACAAACCAGCATACTCTGCACCGTCTTACTCCGCTCCGGCCTACAAGCCCGCTTACTCCGCACCAGCATACTCTGCACCGGCCTACTCTGCACCAGCTTACTCCGCACCAGCTTACTCCGCACCGGCATACTCCGCACCGGCTTACAAGCCAGCATACTCTGCACCATCTTACTCCGCACCGGCTTACAAGCCAGCATACTCTGCACCATCTTACTCCGCACTGGCTTACAAGCCAGCATACTAATTTTCTTAGTCATATGACACCTACGCGTCATCTTTTTTCTTCGACATCTTTCTTCTTTTTTTTTTTTGTACTCCTGAGTTATCGTGTTCATATTAAACCGTGGTTTAAGTCTTATATATGTTGCCACATATTAATGTAAATGACAATGGATACCATAACTTATTATGTATTTATTATGTAAACATAAATATAAATATGTATTTATCGAACATCATGGTTTTCTTATTCGATTTTATTTTTCAATACCATTCATCCTTTATGTACCAATTCATAACATTTTTTACACTGTAAGTGACCAGTTATGTGAATTTGTTAGTCGTAAGTAATTCTGAACGAATACTCATTGATTATACGTTGGCTGGTTATACGACTGAATCAATTTTCAGCCAAATATACTGTTCATAACGGTAAGTAAAAGTAAAAGGTATTAATATACTATTTCGAAAACTCTAAAAATAAAATAATAACATTGAACTTTAAGAATTTAAACGTTCCTAACAATAGCTTTTACAATTTTAATCAAATATTTTCATTACTATATTATTATTTCGATTATTTTGATGAATCATCCTTGAGTACATAGGCAATAGTAAGGTTATTGTAGATATTAATTTAAAATGTAGATCAATAATATACAATAGGGTATTTTACATAAATCATTAACTTACCCCCTTCTCTTATTGTTCCCATTAAATTATAAATTATATTAATATTTATTATATTGACTTTTTGTCGGATTCGGTACCTAAATTAATGTCTAAAAAAATTGTTAATTTTAGTCCTTTTTATTTATTAAATACGTACAATCTGTAAGTTTCTTTTTAATATAAGCATGTTTTGTATTTTTTATTTTATGATATATAACTTGATTAAAAAAGAAGTTGTCCAGTAGCAACAGTTTTGAATTAATTCATTTAAAATTAATATTTGGTATATCTGATAATTTACAGTTAATTCCGCATTAAATTATCAATTGGGTAATAATAATATAGTTTTTTACAGATCTCTTTTACAGTTCAAAAACTTTCTTCACTATTCAAAAAAAAAAAAAAAAAAACTTTACCAGCTTAGTTTAGTTAAGTCGTACAAAAATCCTATCCAGTTGTGAATGATTCGCAGGTAGAGGGGAATCGCACGTAGTCGCACAAATAAATCGGACTTATTCTTAGGGCGCCAATAATATTCTCAAGATCGGGATGATTTGTACGTAGTCATTCGACTACGTATGAACAAAAGTCGCTCATAATCAGTTGTAGTGTGAAAGACCAGTCTAAGAATATGTTACTTTTATTAAGATTCTCGATCACCGTGCGTGACAAAAATGCATTCAGATCTATAAAAATAATCGTTTGAACTAGTTACTTTTGAACTTACAAATAATGAAAAGATCAACGTTGACAATTGTCCTACCAGTTTAACACATGTAGAAACGTAATATTGATCTACATTAGACAGTTGATTTGCGGTGACCGTTTTAATAATTATAATTATATGTTCTTAAATGAACTTTTATTAAAATAAAAAATATATTTGGAAGAGATAGTAAACTAATGTGACTCTAACGATATAAATACCGTAACAACGTAGATTAAAATTACCAGTGATCATTGCCGTGTTTTATCAGCACACCAACAAGTACACTGGACTGGACCAGCAATCATCTGTACGAAATTGCCTCAAAAGTAACACTTTATGTAACAACTATAGTTCTGCCTGTGAAGTCCAACGATCACAATAACATAGTCTTGTGCTAATGGACTGAATATACGTATCTTTTCAGCTGATGATCCTCACGATTTGCGTAGCCCATACGGGGTCCTGGCTCAATACTCAACACCTGCGTACAAGTTCGTGACTTACACGTCAGTCCCTGCCTACCCAGTGTTCAAGGCTTATGCGCCCGAGCCCGCCTGTCTGCCGATCCCGTACGACTTCGAGTACTCCATGAATGACCCGAGCACATATGACGTAAAAAGCCGAGCCAAGACCAGCGATGGCAAGACGGTGAAGGGATACTACGGCCTAGCCGAGGCCGACGGCACCCCGTCGTCGAGTACACTGCTGATGATAATGTTTTCAACGTCGAAGTCAAGAAGGAAGGCTATCAATCCAACCCACCCGCTGCACCCATCTACAGGCCCACACCAGCTTACAAACCGGTCCCGTATTAACGTGCTATTTCGAGTTGAATCTTGCAGTCCTCGAGTTTTCATTATCGTCTTTTACCAAATCGATCATTGTCCCACTAACTGTGTGTCGTGTATATACATATATTGTAAATAAATATACGAATAGTGAACTATGAAATAATATGAAATATATAATACAGATGTAAAGATTTATAAAATATTTTTTGTATGTTTAATCTTTATTATAACGGCTTGTTAGTTTTAGATCCTTATCTACTTGCTAATACTGTTCCGGGACTCCAATCTAAAAAATTGCAAAATTCGTTGTGTTGCGAACACACGATTACTCCAAGTTTTTTTTTTCGAAAATATTTACATTGAAATAAAAATGTCTAAAGCTTCTTGTATTATTCTAATTTTTGAAAATGTAAATTTCACCACCTGGTACTTAGACAAATAAAGAATAAAGAAATCACTATCTAACTATCTTGCTCTAAACGGCTACATTACCACCATTCCTACTAAACTATTTCGTCTTTTTCCTTCCTTTATCTCTAACAATAATGGGATCTCCGATTCAACATTGTAGCTTCCCCAGAGAATTTTCAAAACGCTTTTCCGGCACCGTTCTCCCTATCATCGCATTCGTAGTAAAGACGATGACAATATTATTATAATGTACCGTCTTCGTCTTTCCGCGACTGACGCGTGTATTCACCGACCTATGCGTTCACCGACCGTTATCATCGTCGTCTCATAGTCGTATACTATTTGAGTCGAGCATTTATCGTTTCTCGTCGAGTACAATTATTGCGTCTATTATTCATAATATACTTTCTTTGCCCGTATTCATTTTATATCTATTGTGACCTCTGACCACATCACGAGATCGTAAAATATCGTTCGTGATAATATTACAATAATAATTACAAAGCGATCGATATAAGATATTTTTTTAATGAAAATAAATATCCATCCATACACTTAGACATGCGATTACTACCGTATTTTGAATTTCACAGCTCATCATGAATATCTTTTTTTCGTAATTAAGGTACACAGCTGTCATGACTTCCGATTTGGAATTATTCCGTTTTTTGGAAAACATTTTAAACATAAAATATATTTATATCTAGTACATAAACATTGTTTAAATATTACCAATATAACAATTATTATGATAGTTTATACAACATATTTAAAAATAATTTAGAGAATCTGCGAAGAGCTAATATTTGTAGTAATGCACATGTTCTGTTTGAAATGAAATAGTACGAGTATACAAAAAATAAAAATAAATTTCTCACTAGATTAACAGATTTTTGAAAATCTAATAATATATTTAGATAACTATGTGAATTATTGTGTATATGTATTATTGCATATATAAATGTATGTATACTAAATTTATACCAATTGTTCTCGTTTCGAGGATGTATCAACAACAATTTTAATAGTTCCATAAAATTACATTACATTTGTTTAAGGTGGCTTTATAACGTTTTATATTTAAAAATAATTAGTTGTACAATACTTAAAATTGTACTTTATTTCTTTAAATAATAATTTACTTTATACTTTACCAATATATACACTAATTTAAAATGTGTGTACTGTAGTAATTAAAGTCGCTTATTTCAGTAAATTTATAAATTAATAAAGTGGTGACTTGAAAAAAATAATATAGCATCCATTATTTGAATGATATATTAACACTAATTGTATTTAGGATATAATTTATATTTAATAATAAATTAGATATTAAAAAAAAAAAATAAATAAATAAAAAAAAAAGGTAAAAAAATTTGGACTCAATTAATATAATACGATATTAGACAATGGTCAGTGTTAAAAATTAATTTACAGTAAAAAAATTAAATGCGTGATGAAAGGAATTTTTATAATACATTATGTTAATTGTATGTAATATTAACACAAATAAATATCTGATTATATAAAAAAAATATATTATTGGTATACATAGAATGTTCGAACGGAGTATAATTTATCAACCTATGTGAGGATTTAATTGAAATAAGATGTATGTATTACTTATGTTATATACCCTCAAAAAATACAATTTTGTATAGCATATAATAATGTGAATAATTTTCTATTTATTTTCTTTTTTAATAAAATTAATAAATCAATATAATTTTGATAAAGGAAAATATCAGGCACATATTTTTATAATGTAATATATAAGCATATGAAAGTTAATTTTTTAATAAGTTTATAAGAACTATGACTGAATATTTAAGTCTTGAGGTTGTTATTTTATTTTATTTTATTTTTTTTTTTTTTTCATATTTTTATTACTAAACATTACGAATGATTAAGAACTTTATTTACAATACAACTTAAACGCGACCACAATACTATAAAACTTAATCACAAAATATATGGAACAACAAAAATTGATCAACAATGACGTTGTTTTAAAGAAATTTAATAAGAGCATTTATAGCTTTATGTTAAATGTACCTAACAGTGTACATAGTAGAAATATACAAATATTATAATAATAGTGAATACTAGTGAGGGATTCATAGTTAAATCTAATTCAAAGCTCTAAGATTAGAGTTTCTCAAAATATAAATTTTGTACGTTAAGCACCTTATCGATTAACAAATGTTATCTTATATAAATCCAATAAAAATGTATTTCAATGTTCTAAAATCATAAAAGTTTTATAAAATAAAATATCAATGTTTTGATATTTATAAGTTATTAGTTATAAAAGTTGTTTGGATATCAAATTAAAAATATTAACATTATTTTACAATTATGATTTAACACTTTTATCCCTATATTATTAACAATTATTTTGTGTGTTTATTTTAATTACACATATTAACATTTTCATAAAAAACACTATTTAGAAATTAATATTACTTTGATGTATAACAGTATATTATATACACATAGTATGTATGGAAGAATGAACATAGTAAAGATATTTAAATTTAATAAAGTGATTCCAGACATGTAACCTGGATCCTTTAAAAAGTACATGATGTTATGAACAAATAGTATGTTTATATCTGTACAACATGATTATTGTAAATATTATGATTTATAATGAACATTGGAAAATGTAATATTAGAAGCATATTATATCTACTTAATAAGTCATAAATATTACTTACCTTAAATGTAAAACGTGTAGTTATTTTATATCAACTTCGTATATTAATAATTCGTAATAGTCGTACTCTGTAACAATAAATTATCATATTTTAAAATTAGTCACCATAAGTAATATATTCTAACAGTTTTGATTATATAAAAATGTACATAAATATATATTTTTATTAAACTATCTACCTACATACGTTATTATGTATGTGCTCGAAATTGTTTAAAATTTATGTATACAATTTGCCAAAAGCTATAAAACAATCATTGTATACTTATATGATATTGTTAATTGTAATACATTAATACATATAATAAATGGTTTCCTTCTAAATCTAGAAGTTCATATGTAATATAGGTCAATGATTTCAAGTATAAAATCGATTTTTTGTATTAAGATATAATTAGTATACATGAAGGTATTAAGGTTTTACTGCATTGGAAACCATCTAAAACAGTAAATATTAAATAAAAATGTAGTATTTGTTTTAAATATGTAAATGTTTATTTAAATGCTTTAAGAAATTGATTTATCTTTATGGTCAGATTATTATTTTTTAAAAAATGCCAATTAACAACAATAATCCGTTAAAAAATATGGTTTAAAAAAAAGTAAAATTGAAATAAATGAACATTTTTTTTTTTTTACGTTTCTTTTTTAGTGTTGTTGTTCGTGATAATATAATATCAAAGCATAAGATAAAATCTTAGTTTTATTATTTAATATGTTCTATTTTTTTTTCTCATAAGCTTAATTCTTTAAGATATATTTGATAAACGTATGCAATGATCATAAATAAAACAATCTATAACGAATGCCAAGGTGCTCTAAAACACGAAAACCGACGTAAACAGTGGAGGGGAGGGAGAGAAAAGAAAAAATGGAAAATAAAAGTTTTAAACTTTCTGAAGTATATATGAAATTTCGTGTTTAGAAAGAACTGTCGTAAACTACGTGTAAATATTCTTTTCGCATTTAAATCCGATCTTTAACAAAAGAAACAGCCGAAAAACAATTGCATCATCACAACTATAAGATCATGCGATTTTTATAGAAATTTGCTATTGCGGTTCAAATATTGCAGTACCTACACAAAATTAATCGATTTTCAGCTCTTGGTAACTATTTGTTTCATTTATGTAATTGTATTACGCTCGTAGGGGCAGCAAACACTTTCCGAAGCATAAGCGTATGCCGCATGTATAATTACAATATTAAAACAAGATCGCCCATACGCAACATGAAGTAATAGTACACAAACATACACACCTTACACGTGGTAAGGATTATTACAATTTCATATTGCCAGGTGCACAGAATAATTTAGTGAAAGTTACAAATGCATTTTAATTTTCTATTCATAAAACCACACACGGACACAAACACATACACACACACGCACACAAATATAACGCAAAAGTCACTTGTACGAATGAAATAAAACCTCCGTTTTGAAGCCGTAATGTATCCGTATTGTACGTCATCGCGTGTATACGTTACGCATCGTTAAAACACAAATCCCGATCATTTCGATCGAATTGTTATTATTACAAAATTTTAACCCAGAATCAAATTTTTTAAGCCTGTAATATTTTCATGTAAGTTATGCACAGTTTCTTATACTTATCGGAACTAATAATCCTGTATGACGTCAAAGTTTTGTAACGTTGGAATAAACGCACGACCGAACAATGTTTTCACGTCAGCGGACATGTGCGCTCGCATAACAAAAAGGACTGCATGTAGAGGGTGCAGAGTGCAAAGATCTGAATCTCTGTAAGAGTCTCAAACGTTGTTATTACTGGTGAAACGGTTTTGAAAACAATAACCGTTTTAATTGTGATATAACGCTTTTAATTAAAATATTATATACTGAGCTGTATTTACATAATATGCGCATGTCTCAGTGTACGCGTATCGCGTCGCGTATACGTACTGCGTGCTAGTATTATAACTATTGCGTTATAAAATTTTGCCGTAGGATTCTCGATAAAATGTCGATTGCGAGAGACGATAAGAATATTTTTCCGATTCCCTTTCATTAAGGTGTTCGTCAAACATTTAGTTGGGTTTAATTGAATTTTATAGAGAATAAAATAAAGACAAAAATTACAAAAATTCGACATAGTTCGCATTGATACCAACCGCATTATAATAATACGAGTATATAATCCACTACCCGATTACCATACTTAATTATTTTAAGTTGAAAGTTTGTTGGTTTTACTGATCAAGTACAGACGTTTCGAACATTTACACCGTATGACAGTATCGCTTTTTGAACAAGTGTTTGTCCCGAAGTGTTTCAAACATATCGCGGTATTACAGGATAGTAATATAATAATACGCTTTTGAAAATCATTCGCGTTTCAAAAACGATCAAATGGAACTCGAACAATATTCGTAAATATTTTACAAATGCTATTTTTTACATCAATCCTCATCTGAGATATCGATAAGAAATATTTAACTTCAATTTCTGTGTAAATATAATACTCAAAAAAATAAAAAACCTTTAGGGATTTTTGCATTTATTTTCGATGCGAGATTGAATCATTTAATGCATAATATATAAAACGTTGGGTATAAATGCAAAAGATGTACGGACGTAATGAATACGTAGGAAATTCTGACAACGAAAGTAAACTGTCATCTCCGGAATCTAATCGTGTTATTTTTCCCAGGAAATGAGTTTAAAAAGGGAGAAAGAGGGAAAAAGAGTAGCGTTGGGCTAAATATGCGAAAAAAAAAATTCAATTTCATGTTAGTTCCCTCGGTACACTGTTGACTTCGGAACGAATCGCACGTTGATGGATTTAGTCCCATTATTTTACATTGTGCAAAACCATCCTAGTAACATGTGTAGGACTTCCGAAAAAATTTATTGTGTGACAAATTACCCCCACGTGTGAATGTTTACGAAAAACGTTTTATTTCTTTTTGTTCCCACCCCCTTCCCCGTCACGGCAAAATTATAACTCAGAAACATATTCCTTTATCAACATAGTAATAATAATAATAACCTTTGCGCGTCCGTTTAAAACGATTAAATATTATTATTTATCGCACATTCACGTGGTACAGTGTATTACATACTGCGCGAGTCCCGTGGCTGCTGCGACGTTCACTTTTAATCTTTATTAAACGTCGGCTCAGAAAGCGTTTGCGTACGCGTAGTATTTACACGATCCGCCTTATTCGACGACAACAGCGATACGTTACGATATGGCATTAGGGAATCGCAAGTCATCGTAATAACGTGCAAATGTACCGTCACTGGCAAATAAGTAACAATGGCCAAAAAAAAAAAAAATCCCAAGATAATCGTCACCGTGAGAACGTAACAGCTGCAGTAAATAATATGCTGTCCGTACATAACGTAATACAATAATATGTGATGTTTACATTTTACGGCATAGCAGTATTGGATTCGGTCAAGTTTAAATATAATTGTTTTCAACAGAAACAATAATGATAATGATTGTTATAGAAATAATAAGACTAATGGTAATAATGATAGTAATTATAGGTGTTTGCGACGTACGGATTCGTGATAATTATACGGTATAAGAAGATGCACACGTATAACATCTGATGTGTTCAGGCGGGTGCAACACGCTTGAGCACGGTGTATTTTTTTGCCTGCGTTTTCATGTCACGATTGAGCACGTTCAACGATTTTAAGTACTCCAAAACGTTACTAAACTTCTTTCGTTTCATCGAACAGTCATCATTATAATTTTCTTTTCAATATTTTTTTATGAAATACGTATAATACTAGAATAATTATGTTTTCACGTAATGAAATATTACACAAAATTCGTAATACTCGTGCTGTAATTATTTCACGGACTTTTCTATATCAATTTATTTCAGTAGAGCTACGGATATAATTTTTCGTATACCTGACTGCTTTCCGTTTACGATTATTTTTATGAGCAAATTAATTAAATGGTGATCGTCAAACAACCGATTCGATTTAAACGCATTTCATGAAATATGTGGAACATGTTAGTGTTTATGTTTACAGAGAATTACTATGGGATTTAATACGAAAATCATGATACCTATGGGTTTTTCGTTTAATTTAAAAAAAACGGCATAAATATGCATGGATTTTACTGAATTATGCACATAAAATGTACGAAGGTGCTTAATCATGTTTTAAATTGTTGGGCTTGTGATGTTTTTATGTTCCTCCGATAGGTATAGGATGGTTGTAGAAACATTTCTTCAACCCCTTCTCTCCACAACTATTTTTGAAATTAGGTCTAATCCAAGAGCATGTGAATAGCGAAAAAATTCATGCAAATTAAATACTTTAATTTCCTGCTAAATAATTGCATAAATAAAATTAGATATTTTTCATTTAGGGTGAAGGGAAAAACGTGTTTTTTTCATGAGTATAAGCTGATAAAATAAAGTGTTCGTCGACGAGTACAGCGCGATCTTGATTTGTATTGGACTTTTCGGCGATCGCGAAAACTATTATTTTCTGAATAATATTATTATATGTTTTAGCGTACACAGTTTGCGGTCCACTTGTTATTATTATTTGATCGTATCCGAATGAGTTGCTTTGAAATAAGTATAAGAATAAACTTCTGTGATGTTTTTGTAGGTTGGAACTACCCGACCGATCTTCTAATCGCAAGTGGGTCTTGTTGAAATTAAACCGTGCAAGCTAATAATATTTTATTAAATCTCGAGTGTATCATAAACCACCAGTTTTTATGTATAGCATAATTCTACACTTTTTTGCATGAAATATCTTTTGTGGAATCTAAACAAATTGTCAGTTTTAAAAAATACAATACCATTAACATAATAAAAAACAACAAAATATCTCTTATGAAACTATATTAAACCGAATGTTTTAATATTACAATAAGAACACAATTTTTTCTTAATTTTTTTTATAAAACTTTTTGTCATAGACTTGCTTGTTAGACTTTATTCTTAAAACAGTAATAAATTAATTATTCAGCCACGTTGCATCATTCGATATGCAATCGCTTAGCAAGATAATGCCGCATAGCTTCATTTT